TCTCTCTCTCTCTCTCTCTCTCTCTCTCTCTCTCTCTCTCTCTCTCTGCATTCAGACAGACTTTTCTACATCTACACTTCTGGTACAACAGGCATGCCGAAGGCAGCTGTGGTGGTGCACAGTCGGTGAGTTTATCTGTGGTTTCATCTGATGCACTGTAAGTTAATGGAGGGAACCCAAAGTGCTTACCTGACACTTGCAGTAGCAAGTTGTAGGAACCATAAACTCTGATGATTTATCCACATGCATCTGACTTTATATGTATCTCATTTGTCATTGTCTGGTTATTAGCTCTTATTGCAGTAACAAGTGTTTTCATAAAAATCAGGGCCATAAGGATTTCTGGTCAGTGTTGTTTGATGATGGATGTCAGTCACTTTATTCCATCTTTCTTGTCAGGTATTATCGCATCGCTGCCTTTGGTTTCCACTCCTTTGGTTTGTGTCATAATGACGTCATCTACAACTGTCTTCCCCTGTATCATTCTGCAGGTAGGAAGCACTCGATCTGCTCTCTCCCAGCCATCATCTGCTTTTCCTGTCGCTCCCCATATTATATCATTGTGTCTTTTTAAAATGCTTAATTTAAAAACATGTTGTCAGAGAGGTTGAAGGCTATTCCTCTCTGAATGAATCTGTTAAGCTTAAGGGGAAAAAAGAATAACAATAGGTTGACCACTATCGTTCCTTTCTGCATGTACACAGTATATGTTTATTCATGTGAAAATATGAATGTCACCAGGTACCATCATGGGTGTCGGCCAGTGTTTGCTCTTTGGTTTGACTGTTGTAGTCAGAAGGAAGTTCTCAGCCAGTCGCTTCTGGGATGACTGTGTCAAACACAACTGCACTGTGAGTTCACAACGCCACCAAACTCAGTTAACAACGAGGAGTGTCGAGCTGCCGGCCAGCTGTCCACCTGGTTCCCTTGAACTGACCGATCTCCTTTTTGTCAAAGGTAATTCAATACATAGGTGAGATTTGTCGTTACCTGTTGGCCCAGCCGGTCCGTTCATCCGAAGCACATCACCGGGTGCGTGTTGCCATTGGCAATGGCCTCCGTCCTTCTGTGTGGGAAGAGTTTGTCCAGAGATTCATAATCCCACGAATTGGGGAATTTTATGGCGCCACAGAGTGCAACTGCAGCCTGCTCAACATAGATGGAAAGGTGTGTGTTGTCTTTAATTATTTCAGAGTGTTTTCCAAACTGCAATCCTGTCTGACGTGCATGTCCTACACGTCCAGGTGGGTGCGTGTGGCTTCAACAGTCGCATCCTGCCCAGCTTTTACCCCATCAGACTGGTCAGGGTGCAGGAGGAGAACGGAGAGCTGCTCAGGGATTCACAAGGCCTCTGTATACCCTGTCTGCCCGGTGGGAAGACACACACACACACACACACACACACACACACTGTCACAACTGGATAAAAACGTTTGAAAATGTTGTTCCCCTGTCCCTCTCCATCTCTGCAGGTGAACCGGGCATGTTGGTAGGACACATCAACCACAATGATCCTCTCAGGAGATTTGACGGCTACGCTGATAAGGATTCCACCAATCAGAAAATAGCTCACAATGTCTTCAAGGTGGGGGACTCTGCGTATGTCTCAGGTATGCCTCAGCGTGTTTCTCTAGAGCACAGTCAGAATAATAATAATCGAATGTCTGGGTTCATACAGGTTCCCTCCCACAGTCTGAAGACACACAATATAAGACAGCTGGTCTGGAGACTTTAAATATAAATGTGAATGTTAGTGATTCACTGTCTGTGATGGCGGACTGGGAACCTGTCTAGTGTGTTTCCCACCTTGCCACATTTACAAGCAATACAGAGAAGCCAACAGTGAATCATAGTCATATCAGAGCAAAGTCAAAACTGTACTGGTGAGTCATCATCACTACAGACTCTACTTTCTGTCTGTGCCCTCTACTCTGTGATCCCTTCCAGGGATGATGACG